AATTCCGCGACAGATCTCCCTTTTTCAATAGACGGAAAGCGAAATTCTACGAACAACACATACTACTCAAGTGCCTCCCCATCAGTAGTATCACCGTCACAACGGTAGCTCTGTGCGTCTGTTGGGTTTGTTCAGCTGTCCGCTGTGGTCACTGACTATCAGCACGCCCAAATTATTTACGCCGAAACTATAGTCTTCGAAATCGTGACTTTAACGGTGAGCTAATCTAATCTATTTACACCTTCCGGTGGCATATTGCACGCAGCAGTTTGTTTGGGCGAGCGAAATTTCAGGGTCAAAGGTCATCACTAATTCGCGCTTTCTAACCGGTGTTGGTGACATAAAATACCAACTTGCACTTTAGCATATTTTGGCGTTCTTCATTGTTCTTTAAAAATAAAATTATCTAAAGAATATCCAATACAGATTTCACCCTGAAAAACAGGTTGTTGACGTTTGTTCGCTTTACATTCCTCATATTCAACAAATACGATTAAAATCGCAAAATATGTTTGGTTAGGCGAACCTGGTCATAACACATTTTTCTGTGAATCTCAGCTTCCATTAGGTACGACACTTTTAGACAACAGAATGGACTGTGCACTGGTGACGCAAGGGTCTTCCATTAAGTACGACACTGTTAGACAACAGAATGAACTGTGCACTGGTGACGCAAGGGTCATCTCTGTTGATGAGCACATTTCTCAGATATGCATAACTGGTCTGCATATAAGACGGCGTCACGCGATAGCTTCAGGCATCATTCTTATTATGAAAATGACGCCCTATAGGTGCTGACCACCATAAAGTTTTCGCCATGATAACGGTATACGTTGTCACTCACAATTACTACATATCGTAAGTGCTGAGTCCGTATCTATGTGCGACGCTGATAATGGGACCCCACCTATGCACGGAAGCCTAATCAAATGACCAACGGCGGCCCCTAATACGCATAAATTCACGCGTTGTCACTCATTCCGAATACCTACTGTAGCCGCTAGGCTCGTGTCTATGTGCGATGCTGAATATGAGACCTCACTTATGCAAAGTAACCCAATCCAGTGGCCAAAGACATTCTCTCGTACCCATAACCATACGCGATGCCGTTTATCTTTGCTACCTATAGTAAACACCAGGCCGTCATCTATGCGGGTCGGTAAAAATAAGGCCTCAACTATGCGTGATAGCTTAATCTGACGGCCTGTCATAATGAGTGCTGTACCCGATGTCACCTTACCTAGCTATTTATCGTACCTGCTAGGTCTTTGTCCATGTGCAGGGTTGATCGGCCGGCGACCTAATCCAAACCAATTTGTCGCACTAATAGCTACACGCGTTGTCGCTTATCTTTCCCACTTATGATAAACGTCGGGGGTATTTATGCGAACCGATGAATACGAGGCCTAAACATACCTAAACTAAGGGTCGGGAATTCCGGCTACATTTAGCCAGATAAAGCTACGGAGAGGGACCGCGTACACCCTGATATCCTCAAAGGATGCTTCCAAGCTTTCGCCCTTTCTAACTAGATCCGTTTTCTCTCGTTACGTTCCGTCGTTTCTCTTACGCCCCAAAAACTAGCTGTCATTCACTCAGCTTTATGTCGTGACCCATCTTACCGCCTTACTGGGTTGGGCCATTATCCACAACAGTTTGGAAATGTAATCACCGGCTTTCGCTTTCAGATGTTTCCTGCAACCCCTGAAAAACTTGTATCCTACTGTCTCTTCCCCATTTGACTTGCGCAAGTTCTTCACTCCAAACTCAAACACAACCAAATCCAATGCCAAAACCCACCAAATTTTATTCCATTTTAGGACGCCTCTGGCATGATTTCCTTATCCAACTTTGTCAAAGTCATTGCATTCTCGTCTACTTGTTGTCGACTGCCGGCCCTTCCACCCATGGGCAAGTGGAAGTAAGTGAGTAAGTGAGCAAGAAAGTGAGTGCAACAAAGGTTGCTCAACAGCTTGGCCATGTGTCCGATGAGACCTGTCGGTGCATCCCGATATATTTGCTCGGAATGAGGGTGTACTTTTTCAGTGTTACTGATGTACATATAGCCATTTTATCATGTCTTACATGTACTGCCAACTATCGTTTATTCATATCTCCCACCCTCTGACTGCATTACTTGCAGCAATCTCTGTTCCTAACGAACGCTGCTAAATACACTTGGTCTGATTGGTGCCAGAATGTCATTTCCATAAGGAATGTTTGTGGTAAGCTGTGGGATTTGTGGAACTTTTAATACCGCTCAGACCGAACACCTAATGAAAGCTTTATCGAAGCCCACCCTCAGTTCCATATGTACCTTTGTTCTGCAGTTAACGCGTTGAAGAATGTTCCCAATACGTTTTATTCCATTTGTTGGGAATATTATCGTCATACATATCACCGCAATGCCAAGGATAGACTGTTTCTGTTGCAAATATTCATCCAGGAGCTGTGGAAAACATCCCGCGAGTTTGTATTCGGGTATTTGGCTATCCACAAGCTCATAAGCCTATCGAGCTTGGTGACGTATTTTGACTCGGCCGGGAGAAATCACTAGGTTAAAACAAGAGGGAGAATACAAATCATTGTAGACCCGGTCCGTTAGAAAGCAGATCAAGGTCAAAAGTAGAGGCGGTGAATATGGAGGATAACGAGCTTAGGGAATATGCTTTAGAAAGACAGAAGCACACACAGTAGCCCGTCGTGGCGACACACAAAGAGCTGGCGCGAAGTACGAAAGAGCACGGTGTAATGCATTGAAACTTGACTGTTCCCGCTTACATATGTTTAACATATGACCGTGCGTGTGCACCTCTCCCTCTCTCACTCTCCCAATTACAGGTATCCCGACGAGTCACCGCAAGCGCCGGACGGGAAGGAGTAGCCTGGTGGTACACCCCCCTGAGTGACCTTGACCTGTTTTTCTGTACTTTACATGACTTGTACCAGTCATTCCGGTTCCGGTGTCGAATATACATGTGCTTGCAACGCGATCGTTCTGCTTTCCTATCCATGCGTCATACTTGCTGTGACTACACGTGCCGCTGTGTTTGAGCTAACCCTGTGCGTCCGTTGCCTTATAGCGTATTGCGTCGACTCGCCCACGCTTGACTGCGGCGAAGAATGAACTGGGAGCTCAGTAGTTGCACGATGGGATCGAAGTTCCTGTAGCTACGACGTGTCCTTGAACGAAAACAGACGGGCACTTAAGTTCAGAATACCAGTCCAAACCTTTTAGCTTCATCTAGGCTCCATCTGTGGTCCTGGTGATGCTAAAAATATATTCCTGGCAGGATTGCCTCAGTGGATAATGAAATTTGGTGAGCTGCGAGAATATGGTCATAAATGAGGATGGTTTAATGTTTGAGCACATACGCAACAAAATGCAACGTTTTGGCGTGAAGAGTTTTATTCCACTGGCAAATACTTCTCAGCTAAGAATATTGAGCGGCCAAGGCGCTCCGATAAACCGCATGAAAGTTATGCCCCGTGGGCTGTTAACTTACCCGATGACCTCCTTTCATGTTTGTGGTTTTTCTTTAATTCTATTGAGCTCCAAGGTACCACAAGAAGAGCATTTAAAATAAGTGTGGCAGATATTTTTCTCAAGTTCATCCGCTTATCAGTTTTAGTTTTCATCAAACAAAAATGAGCTACCGAGATTTGCTGTTTCCCACGGGCTCCCCTTACTCAATATCTTCCAGGTCTCTGGTTTGCTGGAGAAGCAATAGTTTGTATGCTTTTGAGCTTCGTCCGGGATGTTTTTCTCTAGGCTTTTGAACACGCTGGACAGATTTCAACCCATTATTTTAAACAAAAACAGCAAATTGGACGGAAAAAACTGGACGGAAATACAATTTTTACGTAGCTAAGGCCGGTCAAAAGTGGGGCAGTTTTAACGAGCTTGCGTAAAAGCCACTAGACCAGTCATAACCTAAATCAAGGTAAATCAAGGTAAATCAAGGTTATATTGGTCTAAAAAGCATTTTGCTTTACAATGACCAAAGGATATTGGTGTGTGTGTGTGTGTATGTATACAGATAAACGGAATGATATGACATATATGTTCTATTGTTTGTAATCTGCATCTCAAATGTTGATGAGGGAAGTTGGGTGAGATCTTATGTATTCGTCAAGCGAATGTTTGAAAGTCTCGAGGTTACCACAATCCACAACAGATGTTGGTAGTTTGTTCCACGTGAGGGATACGCGGACTGAAAAAAATCTGAACCTCTGACGCAATACAAGACAGCTTTTTGATTCCGGATTATTCATAAGCGCTTCTGACTTTCCATCGAGTACGCCATTTTTAGTTTCCTTCGGAGTGAAATCTTGTATTGCTCAGTGAGTTTCTTCAAGGAGGTAAAGTGTTCTGAGCTAACCTCGTTTTCGTTCTCCTGCAAATCTTAACGAATAGTTTCCTAGTCTCGGTCGTTATAATTCTGTTTCCAAGTCTGTACGCCACGCCTAGGTGTATTCCCGCTGACTGAACAATCAAGGTATACATTAGTGAAGAAGCCTCCCGTAACCAAGCTTTACCCTTTCGTGACATCACCAGCTGCCTGATAATATTATAATCGAAAACCAATCACCCGAGTGGGATCAATCTGACGCAGTAAGCTACGGATATCCTTCGGTCATTCTCTTAGGATGTTAGCTCGCAGGGCTTCCATGGGACTTGAGTGAACCATACATCCCCCGCTCGATCCTATCAAATCATCTTTCGGTAGAATAATGTGAGCAAACATACGTGGAAATAACATAAGCTTCTCTTGCTCGTTCCTTGTGAGCATTGTGACCGTTTTCTCGGTCGGGGATCATAAATGATGCAAGTAATCAGCATCATTTGTGCTAGAGAACAGCGGCGTGGTTCCCGCATCTTCTAGCGACAGCCACCTCACAACCGTTCCTGGAATTCTCCAAGTTAAATACTCCACCTATTGAATCAGGCATGTCATCCCAAGGGTGGAAGTACATGTGCAGTTCATCTCTCGCTCAGGGGGCATATCAGTTGCTCTTATGAGATGCCATCCGAACGAACATGTTTGGCATGGGATCACCGGTCAAAATACTGACAGTATATCTCTTTAGAGGTGAGGTTTACTGTTATATAAGCAATCTTATGAGTAGTGTATTACTTCTATGCATGTATCACGTTATCTGAGATACGCGCCAACTGAAACAGGAAACCACCTGGATAGCACATTCAGTTGCTTAAAAACATCGTAAACGAGAGATTCAGTGGAGTTTCAGGTGATTCTTTTGCAGAACCAAATCAGATTACGAATAAGTGCATTTGGCTAATTTGGTGCAATTCGGGTTCAGGAAGAACAGAAGATTAAAGGAAACTCGCGAACCGCGCCTACCCCATGAGCCCCAAGAAAGGCGACACCGGTCATGCACTGCTCTTCTCTAGTAGCTACTGCCGGATACTACTCGGTAACAAAGAAAACAACAGGCGAGTGCTAAAAGTACAACGCACTTGGCATTCATGGCGAAACGTCTGACCCAAGGCTGTCTCGCACTGTCTATCTTTAATTTACTGCTGTTTGATCGGTATTCAGTGGGGTGTGAAGGCCTCAGCTAGTTTGGGATGACCTTCAAGAATCTGACCATCTCGATATCTACCTTTTCGCAGTCAGTACAAACGAAACCGCATTGCCTAGGAAATCCCAGTGTAATACTCAACGAGAAACTCCGTCCAACGACCTGAGATTCGCGGCAACAATCTGGTCACGAAAGCTACACGCCTAATTCCAAACTACGGAACCCTGTTTAGCTGTCTGGAAAAACAACTACGCCGGATCATCGACAGGAGCATCAGGAATAGGATTACTCAGGAGGCTGTCTAGGCAGCATTTTCGATCAACCATTCACCAGTCCCGCCCGGTATGCCTCGGTGATTCATATTCATTCCATTTTCGCACCACCGGCGTGACGGCCTACCCATCTCCCGGCTCTCGATGATCCGCCACCTACTCCCTTGTAAGGCGTTACTTTATACTGATGGCTCGAATATATTATTCAGATATTCGTAAGTCATAGAAGAGAATCGACATCAGCTCCTTTGAAACCAGAAATTGTCCTTCCACCCCCCCCCCTAAACACCAGTCTATCAAAAGCACTTCATACTACGCCCTTGTCTGCAGTTACTCACCTGCGACGATAAAAAATCTTCCTATATTGGAAGAATCCAGCTGAATCAGAGTGAAGTTTGGTGTGTAGAGGCGCCAGTGACTCAAATTACGGGGACAGTGGTCTTTACACTGAGTTTGATGGACCTCTGTTAAGCTCCTTCTCGATTCTCGCACCATTTAAGCCGTCCGTTTCGAGGGACCAGCGCATGCGTCAAGGGAGTGGTACCGGTCGTGTTCAGTCAGTTCACCACCCCCGAAATACCACCTTCTCCGCGTAATTTACCCGAGAGTACCGTTGACCGGGGTCAAGCGAAACTCTTCAAAAGGATAGTTAAAAATTAGTTCACCATATGAATTGATCAGTGCACATCATAGCAGCCAGCACTGTGTACCGCAGACAAGCTTGAACCTACATGCGCTGGCGCCGCACTGATGTAACCCTGCTTGTTAAACCCATACCCAGATGGTGTCACAACATGAAAAAGTAAAAATTGGCCGAAAGGACGACTTTTTCCATGGAAGTGAAGGGGGTGAGGTGAACGGGGAGGAAAGCCGTAGTAAAGGAAACCACGAAAACAAACAAACAGTCTAAGAACTGGGAATCAAAACGCCTGCATACAGCGTCTTCCCATTCAGGCTTAACAGGTGCCTGGGAGAAATGTGTTCTAGTTGTTCACTGGTGGACTTGAATAACCGCAAGTTGGAACTGGTGGGCCAACCGAAAACACATCGAATCTGGAATTGAAAAAAAAATTGGTTGTAAGAAAGAATGGGCTAGCAAATGGACCATTTTTTGACTGCAGAAAGAGATATAGGCAGATTAAAACGGCAAATTTATGCTTCGGGCAGATATTAAACATGCAATTTGACTACTGTCGGTGTACAAAATTTTGTTTGAACCGGTCACTTAATCCAAACATCCCCAAGGATGCCTTTAGTGAAGAACCCACAGCAGTGACCCCCGTTAGGCACAACAGCGGGTTGTATTCCAACAAAGGCATGCTGCCTCTTCTGAACGAGTCAACTAAACCATCCATCCTCTAGAGTGGCTATTGCGATTTTGTGCACTGTTCTCATGCGTCATCAAAAACATGCTCAACAGGTTCCACTCGTCAATTACAATCCACTGAAATTCTGTCAGGATCGCGCTGATGAACAATCTAGTGTGGGGGGGGGTTTGAAGGGTTCAGAAGGATTGAGGAAACACGTTCGCAAGCTTCGATTTTCACTCGGTGACATCCAGTTAGTGTGCTGTCATCGCTACTGCCTTACTGAACAGTTTGGCAATTCCACTTCAGAATGACATGCATTTGGCAAGAAGTTCCCCGGCGGTAGAGCTCCAGTACCAAAGCTAGAAGCTCCGAAAAAGCATACTTCCGTCGTACAAGATGCAGTAGTTGCTTGAAAATGGTGATAAATGTAAACATTGCTTTCACAACCAAACAGAAAAGGCAAAACAGCCTTTAGCTCCAAGCTGAGAGGATGACAAACGGATGGAAAGTTTGGGGAATATGCGAGAGGCGGGTGAGGATATGAAATCATGTAGATTCCATGAAAACCAAGGAGATTTCTCACCTTACGGAGAAGATCGTCACTATCTGTGACCAAAAGGTTTGACTGTGAATCGGACAGCATAACTGAACACTTTTTGCCCGTCAACCTATGGATGACATCCACATGAGCGTCCGCGGCACCATGCGGGTGTGATAAAACAGGGATCGCAGGGGCTGTCTTCGACGAACCGGAAGAACCATCGGTACGAGAGAATAGTACCAACTCGAAGTCATCCGGTGGAATCTGTAAAACAACAATGTTGGGGGATGAAAACAGTGACCATTTGAATGAACGTCTCGTAAAAGAAGGAAGGGGGCAAACGAGGGAGAACTTACTGACACAGTTTCACGGATAATCTCTGCGCCAAGCGTCCATCCCGACGGAAGGGCAGCCCACCCAAATACGGAAAGTTCCTGATCACCAGTCGGACAAATTCGGGTAGGGGTAACCGTAATGGGTTGTTTGATAGTGGATTGGATTAAGGGCATAAGCTTGCTTGTTGGAGATGCAACACGCTGTAACACTGTGGAGTCAGTAGACACAACGATGACAATGGGGTTTTCTGGAACCAGCTGGGCCTAAACAGACAAGCGAGGCAGTTTATACGACCCATTAGGAGAAACAGGATCACTGTAATACTGAAACGGTGTATTTAACGTTGGAACACAAAGCCTCGTCGGAACCATGAAAAAACACCGTTTTCTCCTAAATGCACAGAATAAAAATACAGAAAAATACATCACATCGTCCATCAGTGGACACTTAACCAGTTGGATAAGTAGTAGTAGTAGTTGCGTTCAGCTGTAGCCCCCTTCCGGTGCCC